ATTTTTACTACTGATATCAGCTGCAAAGAATTTAATTTTAATCAATTAGTTTGCTAGGATTGTTGCAATAAAGTACCACCAGATGGGTGACACACAACAGAAATCCATTGCCTCACAGTTCTGGAGGCCAGAAGTCTGTGATCAAGGTATGGGTGTTGTTGGTTGCATCTGAGTCCTGTGAAGGAGAATCTGGTTCATGCCTCTCCCCTAGCTTCCCTTGCTTTGCTGGTTATCTTTGGGGTTTCTTTCATTGTAAAAGCATCACCCTTATCTCTGCCTCAGTCTGTCCATGGTATTCTTGTGTGTGGATCTGTGTGCAAATTTCCCCTTTTTGTAAGGACAGTCATGTTGGATTCAGGCCCACCCTACTCCAGGGTGACCTCATCTGAACTAATCATATCTGCAATGACCCTATTTCTAAATAAGGTTACATTTGGAGATCCTGGGGCTAGGACTTTAATATATATATGGGGGGGGGGTGTGGAGTGTACAATTCATCTTAAAATAGATGAGAAGCTTAACAAACTCAGTAGAAATCAAAAGAATAATCAGAGATTACTATGAACACGTATATGCAAACAATCTAGAAGAGATGGATAAATTCCTAGAATGATATAATCATCCAAGCTGGACAAAGAAGAAATAGAACGCCTAAACAGACCAATTACAAGCAGCAAAATTGAGGCAGTAATCAAAGCACTCCCCAAAAACAAAAGCTCAGGCCCAGATGGCTTCACATATGAATTCTACCAAACATTCAGCAGTAAATTAGTGCCTATCCTACACAAACTCTTTCAAAAAATTGAAAAAGAAGGAATACTACCAAATACTTTCTACAAAGCCAACATTGCACTAATACCAAAACCAAACAAAGACAGCACAAAAAAAGAAAATTACAGACCAATCTCCCTAATGAACACTGATGCAGAAATCCTCAACAGAATCCAACAATGCATCAAAGGGATAATGCACCATGATCAAGTGGGATTCATCCCAGAGGCATGAGGATGGTTCAACATACGAAAATCGATCAGTGTAATCCAACATATCAACAAAAAGAAAAATAAAAACCATATGATCATATCAATAGATGCTGAGAAAGCATTTAACAAAGTCCAACATCCATTTATGATGAAGGCCCTTGAAATTCTAGGGATAGAAGGAACATACCTTAACATGATAAAAGCCATATATGACAAGCCCACTGCCAATATTATTCTCAATGGCGAAAAGCTGAAGGCCTTTCCTTTAAGATCAGGAACAAGACAAGGATGTCCTCTCTCACCACTGCTCTTCAGTATAATACTGGAAGTCCGAGCCAGGGTAATAAGACAAGAGAAAGACATACAAGGAATCCAAATAGGGAAAGAAGAAGTAAAACTATCACTATTTGCAGACAATATGATAATATACATAGAGAACCCTAAAAACTCCACAGAAAAGCTACCCTAAATAATCAACCAATTTAGTAAAGTAGCAGGATACAAAATCAACACACAAAAGTCAGTAGCCTTCCTACTTGGGAATAAAACCTAACAAAAGAGGTGAAGGACCTATACAAAGAAAATTATTAAACACTGTTAAAAGAGATAGAAGATGACACAAAGAAATGGAAAGACATCCCCTGCTCATGGATTGGAAGAATTAACATTAAAATGGCCATCCTACCAAAAGCAATATACAGATTCAATGCTATTCCAATAAAAATCTCAATGACATTCTTCAGAGAAATAGAACAAATACTAATGAAATTCCTATGGAATCTCAAAAAAACATGAATAGCCAAAGCCCTACTGATGAAAACTAAGGAGAAAGGGGTATCACACTTCCAAACTTTAAGCTATACTACAAAGCCATAATAATGAAAACAGTTTGGTATTGGAACAAGAACAGACACACAGACCAATGGAACCAAGTAGAGAGCCCAGAAATAAAGCCACACTTATATGGACAACCGATCTTTGACAAAGGAGCAAACACTATGCAATGGAACATGGACAGTTTGTTAAATAAATGGTGCTGAGAAAAATGGACCACAGCATGCAAAAAAATGAAACTGGACCATTCCCTCTAACTTAGCACAAAAATCAACTCAAAATGCATAAAAGAACTAGACCATAAAATAAATAGAAGAAAATATCAGTAAAACACTACAAGACATATTTCTCAATAACATATTTAAAGACTCATCACCCAAAGCAAAGAAAGTCAAGGAAAAGATAAACACCTGGGATTACATCAAACTGAAATGCTTCTGTACAGCAAAAGAGACATTAACGAAAACAAAGAGACACCCCACTGATTGGGAAAAAAATCTTGCACTCCAGTCATCTGATAAGGGGCTGATCACAAAGATATACAAAGCACTCACATGACTCAACAAAAACAAAGTAAACAATCCAGTCAAGAAATGGGCAGAAGATCTTAAAAGATATTTCTCCAAAAAGGAAATGCAAATGGCCAACAGGCGTATGAAAAAATGCTCAACATCCCTTATCATGAGGGAAATGCAAATCAAAACCACATTGAGATACCACCTTACACCAGTAAGAATGGCATATATCAAAAAATAAACAAGCAACAACAAATGCTGTTGAGGACGTGGTGGAAAAAGAACTCTCCTACATTATTGGTGGGGGTGCAAACTGGTCCAGGCACTATGGAAAGCTGTCTGGAGGTTCCTCAGTCTATTAAATGGAGCTACCATATGACCCAGCAATTCCACTCCCAGGGATATACCCAGAGGACACAAAAACAGTGATTCAAAAGAACACCTGCACCCCCTATGTTTATTGCAGCACTATTTACAATAGGTAAAACCTGGAAACAACCCAAATACCCAAAAATAGATGACTGGATCAAGAAGATGTGGTCCATATACACCGTGGAATATTATTCAGCAATCAAAAAGATAAACTCATGCCATTCGAGCAACGTGGATGGAGCTAGAAGGAATTATGCTCAGTTACATAAGCCAGAAGGAAAAAGAAAAATATCGATGGTTTCACTTATAGCAGGAATATAGGGGAACCCAATAAGACATCAGTGGGAAAAAATAATAACAGTACAAAACACAACAAAGCAAAAATAGACATTTATAACCAGAGACATCCTGCAGGGGAGGAGGCGGGAGAGGGATCAGAGGGAGGGAGGGAGGAGCACAGAGGACTGAGGTGATGGTGCACGGGTACCTTGGTGAAGGAAACTATGGGGACTACACCTGAAGGGGTGGGGGAAAGCAAATATTGTTTAAAAATGAACAATGATGTAAAAAATAAAAAAAGTTAAAAAAAAAAGAGAAGCTTGACAGGGGCAAGAACAAAGGGAGATGTGACATCACACTCTCACGTTTTCCCTGATAGTCTTGTTTCCTGTCTCCAACTCCGCCCACCACCCCCTTCTCTGTTACAAATGAGAGAGAATCCCCCTCCTCAGGGGACTCCTGAGGACTCTTTCAGTCAATGCCTATCTTTTCAAATTGTTTTGCCAGATATGGTCCCTCCTCCACACCAGCTACATAGAAATATTTTAAAGAGGTTTGATAATAGGGATCAGTTTCTTACTTTAATTATGGGACCCCATTAGACCCCCTCTTTTCTTAGTGCCCACTGTAGGAACTTAAGGTATTTGAATTGAATTGAATTCAGATGATTGTCCCCCTGCCTGTCCCAGCCCCCCAGAACAAAATGGAGATTTTTATGTAGTAGAACAAGTCATCATATTTTATTATTTTTTGCAAACAAAATAATTTCTAGAGGACAGCATATAAGCATTTATTCTTGGAATCATCAGAAAAAAGTAAAATACAAATCAAACTTTCTTCAGAGGGCCAATTTCTCAGAAATGTGTGTTTTCAAGCCATTGAAGATTATCTGTAAACAATTGGTCTTGGACAAACATAATTTTTGAAGAATTCTTGTGGGAGTGAACAATTTTGAGTAGGTAAAAAGATTGGCCTAGTTTTGAAAATACATACTTCTCCATTGTGGACTTTTAATATTCTTATTCACTTAACAAATTTACAATGAGTTAAATTACCAGTATTCTCTTGAACTTGTGCCTTTCTTGAAATTCTATGATCCTAACAACACTTTCAGAGTCTTAAGAAAATGGTTTTACAAAGACTCTCCTTTCAATATGTTTACCAAAGACTCTGCTTTCAATGCCTTCTTTTAAAATAGTCGTCTTTGGACTATGTTACCAGGCAGGGTTTTATCTGTGTCCGTTGGTTGTCTCGAGCCACTTTGCATGATCATGTTTTGTATGATGAATGGAGCATAGAACACCCATTTATGTCCAAGCTCAGGTTCCTTGAAGCAAGCAAGAGAGATTCCACAAGTACCCATCCCTCTAGCTGGGCAGAAGCTAAGCAAACACACACTGGATGGAAATAACAACAAAATTATTTTGGCTTTGCTGACCACTGTGGTGTTTGTTTAGCACTGTGTCTGGAGCTGTCTATACTTAGCCCTCTCTCTGCACAGAGTACAGCAAATCACTTCCTTATTTAAAAGGCAGGTGTGGATCTTACCTCTGCTGTCCTTGTCACAACAGTAGTCCAAACCCTCAAGGCCTGACACGTGCAGACTCTCCTTTATTGACATCTAAACCTTTGTCTCCTGCTCTGTCTCAGCTAACAGTGCAGCTACCAGTAGAATCTGCACCCAGATTCTAACATCCCAGCTACCAGTGGCTGTACCCAGATTCCTGGGTCTTCATATTTGCCTCCATTCTAGAATCTATTGTTTTTCCATCTGTAACCCAGAAGACATTGATCTGGTAAATCATGAGTTGATCCTTTCCTAATGATTATTGTAGCGTTTAATCATCTTTTCTTTGACATAACTAAATCAAAGTCATTACACTACATGAAAGTTAAATATCTTTCCACTACTAAATCTGAGAATAGTAAAACTCCTTTCATCTCCACATACGGGGAAAGCACCCAGCCCCACATCGTGATACAGAAGGAAAGAATCGGTGCAGGAGCTCGCGGAAAGTCAGTATTCCTCATGAAATGGGTATTCAGGATGGTCACTCCACCTGCCAAGACAGTTCCCCCAAAGGTAAAGAGCTTACTCCAGAGGCTGAGTAGGTAGCCTCAAGTCACCAGCCTCCTTTCACATCCTCACCCACAACTCCCTTTCTCTTACCAGCCCCCCTGTCTCTCACCCACTCTCCTTCCCTGTTTTCCCTTATCCCTGGTCCTTTTTCTGAAGCCCTGAGCAGCTCCCTGAGTGTAAGGGGTGGAAGGGATGGCTGGTTGCTGCCAACTCAATGTTTTGCTCTGCACATAAGCACAGGTGGTGATCGTGCCTGGCTGCATTTGGGTGAGTTCTCAATTCCTTCCTCCCTCTCCTCCCTTGAGCCAGGCTGTGAAACACAATCTTTTCTTTTTTTTCCAAAGCCCTGGTACCAGCCCATGTCACCCCCTTCTCATAGATTTTACTTGTCCCTCTCACTGGGCCTCCTGGGAGTAGAAAGTCTGACATTTAGAAAGGTAACCATGAGCTAAGTAAGTTTCCACGATGATGATGGTGGTGGTGAACTTATCTCTAAATAGCAAGGGTGAAACAGTCTATGAAAGGACTGGTATGTGTGGGTGCCTGTCATGGAGCATATATAAGTATCAGTTATCTGCAACTACTATGAACTTTATAAAAATAAAGATTCTCAAATGTCAAAGATGAACTGGAGGAAAAATAGAAAAAAACCATGGACCAGCATCCTAAGTGATCCTTTTAGTGGACTAATCTTTGTTTCTGCTCGCCGGTTTTTCTAGTTGTTTGCTGGTATGATGAGTTATGTCGCTGGTGTTGCTAGAATTAGGTATTAAACATGTCAAATACCAAACTAATGTTACCAACTGTATGTAACAAAAGGAAAATCAGTTCAGGGGTGGGTTGACTAGTTCCATAGAAATCATTTATCTTTAAGAGCCAGTAATTAACCTTGACATGTTTGTTCTGTGTTTGTGTTTGGTCTTTTGTTCTTGTCAGGTGTACCTTTTGATGTCAGATAATTTTTTGCCATGGAAAATTCACATTTGAAGACAGATTGGTTCAGAAATTTGGTATTAGGATAGTCAGATCACTTTTCACTCTTGACAAATAGTGGGACCAATAAGAGTCCAAATGATATGAACTGTCTTAAGGAACATTTTCTAAATGCTCACATAAAGAAAAGGCTGCAAAGAGAAGATGACTATCCAGGAAATTTGAAGAACTGCAAACAATGAGTAAGAAAAAAATGTGTGTCTACAAATACGTGTGTAAATACACATATATATGAACTGTACTCTTCTTAAAATTTGAAAAGCACAGGCTATTTAGAGAACAGGAGGCTACTTCAGTTGATTAGCCTGATGTCTTCAACTAGCGTAAGCAATTTTGTCTGTGGGAAGTCCGCAAATAGAGCTCGACACTCCAAATCTGAGAGGCAAGCATTCATTTCAAATTCTAGGTTCTTGGGTCCCAGCCCCTGTCCTCTTTCCCTCTCTCATAGGGCTTGTTTTGGAAAACTTTTCTCTAAATGATGCATCACTTTTGGGGGGAAACAAATATGTTGTATTAACATATGTATAGTAGGAGTTAATTCTCTTCGAGGTCATTAGGCTGCCAGGCCTTCACCCAAGTCATGGAATGTCATTAGTTCCAGGAATATTCTTTTCAGTAAAAATATAGGCAAGATTAAAATGGAGCTTTCTAGGGAATTCCTCGAGTAGATGCAGTCTACCCGCCCCTGTGTAACACGGGGGCTGCCCACCAGCCTCACGCCTGCCGCTCCCTGTGGACACAGGTCCAGGCCCATCATCCTCTGAGTTGACACCTGACTCTCGGTTACCTAACCCCACAGCAATGCGTGATCCAGGACTCCCCCAAACTCACATGAGCATTTGCACGAATCGGATATTTTTATTCAAGGCTTCAACCTTCTGCATTTCTTCGTCAGTGAGAGAAAAATCAAAGATCTGAAATAACGGGAAAAAATGATATTAGGAAGGTGGAGGTCGGAACAGCAGGGCGTGGGGGAGCAGGACCAGCAGCAGGAGTCAAAGACGGTGAACATCTCTGCGGTATCTGAGACCAGATGGGGGCTTCTATCCTTTGTCTCTGAGACAATGCTGGTAACAAATCCAAATGATGTGACGCAACAGAAGTCTAGATCTTCTCCTGACATCCCCAGAATGGACAATTCCTGTTCTTTCTGTAAAAGATGCTGAACTTTTGGTCCTGGACTCTGGCCTTTGTACACTTACAAAAATATCCCCTAGCCTCTGAATTTGCATTTTTTAATGTTTCATTTGCTTTGTTTGTTCTCTTAGTCTTTTCTCTCATAATATTGAAAGCCACCTCTGTCCTCTAATTCTGTTTACATTTTCACTGTTTAATTTTCCTTACCTTATACACTTTATACTCTGGTTTATTAGCATTTTTATTTTTATTTAGTTTATAATTTTTAACACTTGTCTTGCCTATTTATAATTTATCTTCTCTTGACCATTTTCTTTTCCTGTTCTTAAACTGGTCTTTTAATATATTTAACCATTTATAGATTTTAATTATGCAAATAACTCATTAGTATGTTTTTGGTAAGGAAATGAAACACTGCAATACATGAGTGTGTGTGGAATAACAAATGAAAGTTCCTTTTATTATGTACCAACCCAGTCCTATTTTTTCCCCTAAATGTTCCTTCCAAACATTCAATACATTAAGAGCAAAATGCAATAATTTTATCAAATCTTTATCATTCTGCAACTTTCTTCCATTCACAGAGTCTATCTAGGTGATCTTTCCTGTCATAATAAATACAGTAATTTTGTTTAACTACTGCATTCATAAGTTTAACAATTTACTTGATCATTCCCCCATGGATTATTTCCAAGTGCTTTTTTTGGGGATATTTTTTTCTCTGAGTATTTGTTATCTAGGCACTGAAGTTATGAGCTTGGTAAGGAATCAGAAGTTTGCATAACATTAAAGCAGTTATGAATAAGCCAGCCACTTGCAAACTACATCCTTACATCTTTTTGCTTAACAGCCAACTCATCCTTTCTGTGTTGGGGGGGGTCAGTGATTGACGCCAGCAAGTATGTAATATAACCTAAAGACAAAGTGAAGCAAAACCTGCCCCAAATGCAGGCTTTCATGACATCAATGAAAGTGATGTGGGAGATTTGCTCTAGTTTTAGGCACATCTTCAAACCAGGTTCAAAGAATCTGATTCAATTAAAATCTACTTTGGTAGACACATTAAAAGAGGCTTTTGGGCCTCCCTGGTGGTGCAAGGGCTTAAGACTTAGCACTGTCAAGCTATCTATAGCCACTGCGGCATGAGTTCCATCCCCAGCCAGGGAGCTGACCCACATGGCACAGCAGACCTCTCCTGTCTCCCACTGCTCCCCTCAGCAGTGTATTTCAGTGGATCCAACTGTTCTGCTCCCCACTCAATCTCTGGTGAATCCTCTCACCCCTCCCCCCCTGCACCTCTGGCCTGCACCCCAGCTCTTCTATGCAAAAATAAATAAATCTTAAAAAAATAAGAGAATGTTTTTTAAAAGATTGACTCCCATCACTTCTTAGCCTTTTAACTAAGATCAAGTGTAAAAGATTGACTCTCCTTTAGATAAAGTCTCTGAAATTTTACCAAGATTACTCTCTTTATGATGCCCTGGGATATCATGTTGTTATGTAATTTTATTTTTAAATTTTATTTGTTTTTCATTGATGTAGTATTTGGATACCCATATAAGGCATCACCGCCATAGTGCACCCACCACCAACTCGCCCTTAGTCTTCCACCATAGACCATTGTGCTTTCTTCCTCTTTGTTCTTATCCTCCCTCCTTGACGGCCCAGTTCTGTAGTTAGTTTTTAAGCTAGTCTTTATCTGATTCTTAATTTAGTCAACTATTAGTGACACCATCTCATATTTATCTTTCTCCTTTGACTTAGCTCACTCAGCATCATCCCTTCTAGCTCCATCCATGCTGCTGCAACTGGCATGAGTTATGTAATTTTTAAAAATTAATACAGATTCCCTGTTTCTTCTAAGATTTAGTGCACGTATGCAATTGCAACCTAAATTTTGTTGAATATAAGTAAAGATTGTCCTCATAAACCTCAGGTGTAATTTAAGATAAATTTCCAAATTCTCCCTCCCTCCATCATTCCTATGCATTTTAAAAAATTTCTCATGGTCTCTATTTTAATGGTACAAATTAAGTAAATGACAATCTTCTAACTGCAAAACTAAGCTGCTCACGTTCCCCCTAACCCACGAAACTGCTTCTCTTATAGTAAATGCTTCAAGAAGGAGAGACTGGTGACTGTATTAAGTACTATGGAAAGATATATTAGGGCAAGGACTGAAAACAAATGATAGGATCCACTAATGTGGAGGTCACCAGAGACCTTAACAAGAGCTGTTATGAGGGGATGGCTTCGGTGGGGAAAGGGACTTGGATTAGAGTTGACTTTTGAACATTGGAAGTTGCAACATGCTTGCTATTGGTGGGAGGCATGCAGTAGAGGGGAACAATTGATAATGCAGTAGACAGTGATGTTTGAGATTAGGAATTAATCTCAATTTCCAAGGGATAGCCATGGGAATCAGTGGTGGAAATACGTAGGATGATATCCTTGTGGGAAGGAAGGTCAAGGAGCTGTTAGGCCAGACTATTGGAATGGTCATCGAGGTGGATACTGAATACACTAAGAATTATTGAAAGCAATGCTGGAGGGAGTGAAGGTGGATCAAGGAATAAAATCTGCAGGGATCTGGGCCTCCCTGGCGGCGCAAGGGGTTAATAAGCGCCATGCTATGAAGCAGTCTGCAGCCTCTGCAGCATGAATTCGATCCCCAGCCGGCCAGGAAGCAACCCACATGGCTCAGCAGACCTCTCCTGTCTTGCCTGCTGCTCCCCTCAGCAATGTATTTCAGTCAGTCTGCCTCTTCTGTTCCCCACTCTGTCTCTGGTGAATCCTCTCACCCCCACCCCATGCCTCTGGCCTGTACCCCAGCTCTTGTATACATAAATAAATAAATCTTTTAAAAAAATGTGCAAAGATTGGCAGTTGCTGGATGACGAGAAAGATAGTGGGTGGTAAAATTTGAGATTTTTTTTGTTCTTTTAACAGTATCCTACCTCGCTTAGTTTTCTTCATTTTTCACGTATAATTTATCTAATTTTTCAACTTATGGTTTGCTTTAACTTTTTATTCTATAATTTTAAAAGCTATCATTATTGAAGTGACATTAATTTTACGTTCTTGCTAGTGCTTTGACACTGTAAGATGCCCCCTCAGATGTAGTCACCATAGCCCTCCAGCATATTCCACTGTGTTCTCCTCCCCACTCCATTGTGTTCACCCCTTACTCTCCCCTCCCTGTTCTGAAAGCCCAAGATTTATGGTCAGTTTTCAAGGGTTGGTTTTAAAGTTTGTCTCTGACCCTTTATTTGGTTTTTCTATAGTCCACATATGAGTGACACCATCTGGTATTTATCTTTCTCCTTCTGCCTTAATTCACTTAGTATAAACCCTTCCAGCTCCATCCACATTGCTGCAAATGGCAGGAGTTCCTCTCTGTTGATTTCTGAGCTGCGTTCCCTTATGTGTATATACCACATCCCCTTCACCCACTCTTCTGTGCTGGGGCAAGAAAATCTTTTGCACAAGATTTTTAGTTTGATGTAGTCCCAGTTGTTTATACTCTCTTTTGTTCTTTGTTGCTGGAAATGAATCTGTAAAGATACCTCTAAGGTTTATGTTTGGAATGTTTCGCCTATGTTTTCTTCTGTGTATTTTATGATTTCAGGTCTTACATCCAAGTCTTTTATCTATTTTGAGTTGATATTTGTGTCTGGTATGAGATATGGTCTATTTTCATTCTTTTGCATGTGGCGCCCCAATTTTCCCAGTACCACTTATTTAAGAGGCTTTCCTTGTTCCAGTGTACATTCTTCATTCCTTTGTCATAGATTAGCTAGCTATATATGTGTGGGTTTATTTCTGGGTTCTCAACTCTATGCCATTGGTCTCTGTGTTTTGTTCCAGGATCCTTTACTTATATATTTTATGTGTCTTTACTGTGTATTTAAAAAATGTCTTTGAAAGTTTATTTACCTCAGTTCTAAAAGAATATCATTTTCTATTTTGTTGATTCTTAGTTTTATTTTTTTAAAGATTTATTTATGCATACAAGAGCTGGGGTACAGGCCAGAGGTGCGGGGGGTGAGAGGATTCACCAGAGGCAGAGTGAGGAGCAGAACAGGCAGATGTACTGAAATACACTGCTGAGGGGAGCAGCGGGTGAGACAGGAGAGGTCTTCTGCGCCATGTGTGTCAGCTCCCTGGAGGGCCAGGGATCGAACTCATGCTACAGAGGCAGCGGATTGCTTCATAGTGCTGTGCTTAACTCCTTGAGCCACCAGGGAGGCCCTGATTCTTAGTTTTAATACCCAGCAAACTTCATGATTTAAGGATGAATCTATACTACCTGGAGAGTGGAAATTGTGATTTTTATCACTCATTTTCTTTGTAAATCTGTGCCCCTCTCATATTTTCCTGTGGTAGGTGAATCTCTGACTCCATTTCCTTATTACCACGGCTATGGAAATGTATGCAGTACAACAGTTAACTGCAATGGAAATCTGAAGGAGGATGACAGGTCTTTCAGTCCAAAATTGTGATCTGCCAAATGTCTTCAGTCTAAAGGCTCTCACTTTCCACTGCTCGGCGCATTCGTAACTCAATTTCTATAAAATTTTGAATACATGAAAGCACTCATTTGAAGTGCATCAAAAATTTTTTTTTTATGATTGATTTATGTATATAAGAGCTGGCATGCAGGCCTGAGATGTGGGAGGGTGAGAGGATTCACCAGATACAGAGTGGGGAGCAGAACAGGCAGACTGACTGAAATACACTGCTGAGGGGAGCAGCGGGCAAAACAAGAGGTCTGCTGCGCCATGTGGGTAGCTCCCTGGCTGGGGATCAAACTCGTGCTGCAGTGGCTGTGGATAGCTTCATAGTTCTGTGTCTTAATCCCTTGTGCCACCAGGGAGGCCCCAATTTGTTTTAACTTTTGGTAAATGTCACATTAGTCCCTCACTGTTTTAAGATGGCTGGGAAGTGTTAAAAGACAGTCAGTAGTTGAAACAGTTTTTTAGTTTTATTTTGCTAGTAACAGAATCCTTTCCTCCTTTTATGAACGTTCCTTTCCCCATCTAGTATGGTGTTTGCCACATCACACCCCTCCTCCTGCACAAAAATCGGGATACTCCTCAGGGGACCAATCAAGTTATCTTACTGCACATAGAGATTATATGGTTCTGGCTAATGACGTACAAAGGGACCATGAGAGAGCAAAGATTGATAGAAATCCTGTTAGTGCCACCATGTGGAGAGCTAGGGAAAGAGGATGCCAAATCCTTTCACAAATCATTTAAATATCTGTGTCCAGTCTCTTCTGATCTACCCATGAACCTTCTAGTTGTGTAAGCCATATATTAGCCTTTTCTTTGCTGAGTTTGAGTTGCATTATATCATGTGGTAGCAAAAAAGATAGACAATTTATCTTTATCTTCAGATCTAATGTCATAGATATCTTCCCATAACAGTTCTTAGATTTTCTTTTGGCTGTTTTTAAATGGTGATATAAAATGTCTCTAAAAATGTATCATAATTTGTATGATAAATTCCTATTAAAAATTGGTTCCAGTGTTTTAAAAATGATGTACAGTAAATATTGTCATAAATATGTATATGTGTACATGCAAATTCAAAGACATCTGTAGGATAAGATTGTTGCATTGATGGATATGCTCATTTAAATGCTCATGGATCTGGAAAAATACTCATCCTTCCGCTAATCTTACACCATTTAACATTTCTAGTAGCAGCATGTGAAAGTACCTCTTTTCTTACATATCGCCTACATTCTATTTTTTTTCCTGAGGGGGAACAATACTCTTTCACTTTTTAAAAAAAATATTTATTTTATTTATTTATGCATACAAGAACTGAGGTGCAGGCCAGAGATGCGGGGGGTGAGAGGATTCACCAGAGACACAGTGGGGAGCAGAACAAGTGGATCCACTGAAATATACTCCTGAGGGGAGCAGCGGGCGAGACAGGAGAGGTCTACTGCACCTTGTGAGTTTGCTCCCTGGCTGGGGATTGAACTTATGCCTCAGTGGCTGGGATAGCTTGATAGCACTGAGATTTTAGCCCCTGGTGCCACCTGGGAAGTCCCCCATTTCACTTTTATCATTACTGATGAGTAAGACAACAAGCAACTTAGGAAATTTAAATTTTAATTAATGGGTAGTTGATTAATTTTACATGGTGCTTTATCCATTGCTGTCTTTGCCTAGTTATTTAGGGTTCAGTAGCAACAGGGTAAACTAATCACTTCCACAGTGACATCTTTTCTCACCTGTAGGTTACCACGCTGGCCAGAGATGACTTAGGAAGGAATAAGGCAGCGCCATTCATGAAGTCTAAGTAATCCTCTTCAATAATTTCCAAATTTATCCCCAACTTTTACAGAGCCATTAAGAAGCTGGAAAGTTGACTAATACTAAATTCAATTGTTACACATGCTATTCCTGTGGGCTGGTGGAGAAGTAAGTAGGTAGTGTCAGGAGCTCACAGAGAGGGCCTCCCTGGTGGCCTACCACTGAGAAGGCCCATCTTGATAGCCTGAGTTCGATCCCCGGTGTAGGGTAAGGTAAACAGTATCAGGCTTTTCTGCCCTCCCGCCATTAGGACAGATGACGGAACCCTGTGGTCCCGAATGCATGCCTGATGGCGGGCACCTGGAGGAGGGTGTGGCATATGTAGATGGGATTCACCTGGGCTAAGACTGTGCTTATAAGGGGGGCGTCATGGGGACGCCAGGAGAAGCATAGAGAAGCAGAGAGAACACCAGAGAGCCCAGAAAGAGTGAAGACTTGGTGGGGGCCGGGAGGCCTCCCGGCCCCCCCCCCCCCCCCGCCCCGGCACCCTTGCCTGCTGTGACCCAATAAATCCCAATAAAAGCCTGCAGAAACCACCGAGGGCTCCAGGACTCCTCCTTTACCTAGTCTGCTCAGGTCATAGAAAACCTGCTCCGTGTCCTTCCAGCCCTTCCAGCCGGCCAGGGAGCTGATCCACATGGTGCAGGAGACCTCTCCTGTCTCACTCACTGCTCCCCTCAGCAGCGTATTTCAGATCTGCCTATTTATTCTGCTCCCCACTCTCTCTGCTGAAGCCTCTCACCCCACCCCTTCACCCCTTGCACTTTTGGCCTGCACCCCAGTTCTACGCAAAAATAAACAAAATCACAGGGAAATACATGAAGAAATAAGAGAACTAGAAAACATGAGCAGCAAAGCAATTCCTGAAGTGCTAGCAATTGTTTCAAATTCAGCTAAAATTAAATCCCGAGATTGGCAGGGTAGGTCCAAGAGCTGGTATAAAATGAAATATAAAGGTATTACAAGTTTCTTATTAAACTAAACAGAAAATCCTCCAAAGAAAAACATTTTTTTTACATTTTTGAGAAGAAATTTTCTTACTTGAAAGTTTTCTCTGATCCTTTCAGGGTTAAAGCTTTTAGGAATGACAACCACTCCTCGCTGGATGTTGAAGCGCAGAACAATCTGAGCTGCTGTCTTATTGTACTTTTTCCCCAATGAGGTGAGATATGCATCCTCTAACATAGGAGGGATAGAAGTATTCACCCTTCAAAAAAATGAAAAAGCACATGTGTGTTAGGTCAAGCAAAGAGAATCAAATGAATCACCCTCCTCTGTTTGCACATTCAACTGGTAACTTACCACCTTTCCCTGAGTGCAAAGAACTCCAAGAATTACTATTAGGGTGGGAAGAAGATCTGAGGCAAGTTTAGAGAACAGACTCTTTCAGAACGTAAACAATATTTCTTAGATCGCACTTGTGGAGAGAAGTGGGTTGTTAGTAGACATTAGAGGATGACAGCAAGACTAAAGAGAAGAAATTAAAAGGCACAATTCCTGGAACCATTTTTGAGTAGGGAGCTCTCTACTTATGTCTGTGGAACACATGACAGTAGAAGTATTGCCACTAAATACAGAGATGAAAAAATTTAAAACTTTCAGAGCATAATCATAGAGACTGTGCGATAATACCTAAACTAACACCTTTTGAGATTTCCCGTTTCAGACACACCTAGGTAATTGTATATAGGTAGAATAATGGATTCTCAATGAGGAAGATTTTATTAGCTCTAATTTGTGTAGATGAAGACTGGTTGGAAATTAACTTCGTAAGATCCCACAGCCAGAGTAATTCCAATCAGGAAATTCACATGGTTCACGTTACTCTATACCCAAGGATCTGCTCCTGAGGACGCACAGTATTACTTACCACCCGGGATCCCTTGAAGTGCCCAAAGGACTGTAGGCAACAATGACAATGTTATGTCGTCGGCAAAATTGCAAGAGCTTAGGCTGGGTGAAATATGGATGACACTCCACCTATATGGTTGCAGTGGAGATCAGAGCCCAAAATTAAGGCATGTAGATATATGCATTTTTACAGTGTTAAAAAATTCTTCAATTAAATCCATTTAAAGGTGTCATGGATAAGGGGGCAAATCCCAAATATTTTTCCTAACAGGAAAGTTTCCATGGTTTCTATACTAGTGAGATTAATTAAAACAAGGTTAGCGAAGGCACCAACTGCATGTTAATCCTAAAATAATTGGGGAACACATTCAATTTTGTGTAGCTGTCCTGGCTTAAACCTTTAAGCCAACAGTCAGTTACAGTAAACATTCTAGCAAATACAATTTTCTATAATAAACAGTCTCCAAGTTCAGATTACAGTGTTTGTAAGTCAAAGTGACGTGTTGCATAAAACCTTTGTCCCTGGCTATCAAACAGCTAAGAATATTTTCACAAGCAGTACAGCACCTACAAAACTAAATTAAAAGGTGAATTTTTTTCTTTTAGGATATTTGTAGAACAACCACATGACTTTCGAGTCCAGAAAGCCTTGTGTTTTGTGAATACTGGACTCTGACACTGTCCACCCTGTCCGTCTCCCTCCACTCCCGGGGTAAGCTGTACCTGGTTGCTGACCGGTTTATATTTGAGCCCTGGTTTATTCAGGATGAGTTCCAGCTGCCTGCGGTTAAAGTTGGATACTCCCAGGGATTTCACCAAGCCAGCATCTTTGCAGGCTTCCAAAGCCTGAAGAGTAAATGCCAGAGTCAAGGATGAAGCCTCAAAACAATCAAGAATGAATCTTTTTAATAATGACTGAGTTCTTTAAAAAGGAAAGTCTCTGAGTATGCTGGCAGGTATTCTATGAAGAAAAAACAAGGGAGACATTGGTGGAAACTTTGTGATTGAATGAGTTTGGAAGTATGGTATACCATTATCTCCCCCTTGTATTTTTTTTAAGATTTATTTATTTATGCATACAAGAGCTGGGGTACAGGCCAGAGGGTAGGGGGTGAGAGGATTCACCAGAGACAGAGCAGGATGCAGAACAGGCAAATTGACTGAAATACTCTGCTGCAGGGAGCAGCAGGCAAGACAGGAGAGGTCTGCCATGCCTTGTGGGTAGCTCGCTGGCCGGGGATTGAATTCATGCTACAGTGGCTGCCAACAACTTGATAGTGCTGAGACTTAACCCCTTGCACCACCACGGAGACTCCCCCTGGAATTGTTATAGTGTATATCAGCACATCAGTAACAATCTTATTTCTTAAAATTTGTTGAGGTTTTGTTTATGCCATGGTACCTGATCAATTTTTATGAATGTCTGGCATATGTGGGAAATGTACATTCTCCTGTTTTTAGATGCAGTTCTCTCTGTCCTGTCTCTGTACCACTCTCTAATACATTTGTGTATATATGTACACATACACATATTATATATAAAGTTAGCTCAACCTTTTCCTGAGTTCTCAATAACTTAAAGGAATATATCAGAAATCTCTTATTAAACTGGACTTATCAGTGTCTTCCTGAATTTTTTTTAAAGATTTTATTTTTGCATAGAAGAGCTGGGGTACAGGCTGGAGGTATGGGGGGGTGAGAGGATTCACCAGAGACAGAGTGGGGAGCAGAACAGGAGGATCTACTAAAATACACTGTTGAGGGGAGCAGCGGGTGAGACAGGAGAGGTCTGCTGCGCCATGTGGGTAGCTCCATGGCCGGAGATGGTACTCAGACTGTAGTGGTGAGAGTACTGAGACTCAACACCTAAGCCACCAGAAGGGCCCTGTCTTCCTGACCTCTATCAATTTTTGCTTTCTATATTTAGAAGATATTTGATTTGATACATGTGTGTTAAAATTAGTGTATCTTTTTGGTAAATTGGATCTCTCATCATTATGTTATTTACACTTCCTGTTAAATAATAGAATCAGTTTCTTAATTTCTTTTGGGATTTTGATTGGAATTGCAATGCATTTATATATCAGTTGGTGGAGAATTAACATCTTAACTGCATTTAGTCTTAAGATCGGGGGCCTCCCTGGTGGCACAAGTATTAAAGTCTCAGCGCTATCACTGCTATGGCCTGAGTGTAATCCCGTGCCACATGTGGCATAGCAGACCTCTTCAGTCCCACCCCTTGCTCCCTGCAGCAGTGGATTTCAGTAGATCTTCCTGTTCTGCTCCCCACTCTGTCTCTAGTGAATTTCTCACCCCCATGCCTCTGGCCTATACCCAGTTCTTCTATGCATAAATAAATAAATATATTTTAAAAAATCAAAAGAACATAGTATATACCTCCCTATTTATCTGGAATTTTCAACATCTCAGTAATTGATTATAGTTTTCACTATTAAGTTTTACAGATTTTATTAAACTTTAAATATTTCATATGTTTTCTAATTGTGTTGTTAGCATACTGGTATTATATACAGATACAGATTGTTATTTCTCTTTGGTATTATGGGTTATTTATATGTATGCTTATTAATTTCTAAGTATCTATTAATTTTTTTAGATACACTTTGTTATTGACTTAAATTTTTTTTTAAGATTTATTTATTTATTTATACAAGCACTGGGTACAGTCAGAAGCGCGGGAGGGTAAGAGAATTCAACAGAGCCAGAGCGGGGAGCAGAGCAGGCAGAAGGACCGAAGTACACTGCTGAGGGGAGCAGCGGGCGGCAGGAGAGGTCTGCGTGCCATGTGGGACCCTCCTCCGGTGGCCGGGGAGCAGCCGGGGATCGAACTGGCACTGCAGAGGCTGCGGGCACCTTCGCAACCCAGCGCTCAACCGCTGCGCCACCGGGGAGGCCCTATTGACTTAAAATTTAATTCCAGTTTTATCAGAGAGCCTACTTTGCATGAAGAATATTTTTATATGTGTTGTGATTTGTTTCATGTCTCACAATGAGGTCTATTTTGTTAAATGTTTCATGTGCATTTGAAAAATAGCATTCTAGACTTTATTGGTGATGCATTCTACAAATGTCAATTGGGTCAAGTTAGTCAATAATGTTTAAATCTCATATATTATAGATTTTTTTGTCTATCTCATATCTCTCTATTCATAAATCAGACAGAAATAATCAGATCAATTTAAAGTGCATTCTTTACAAATAAAAAGCCAGCAGCTCTCCTGCCCACCTGTGACTATGCAGGTGTTTCTCCTCACTAGCCTTCTCCAAGGCTGCCTGCCTGGGACTATACAGGTATCTCTTAACAAACCTGACCCTTTCAAGGACAGTTCTTTCTGACCGCTGGTGTCTGTGTAAGCATCCTTCTTTCCCTTTTTAAATTTTTTTCTGAAATCAAAGTATGCAAAAAAAAAAAAAAAAAGGCCAACTTGAACTCACCTCCCAAGTGGCACACAGATCTGTCTTATGATATATAAATTTACCATTCTCATCTTTAGGATAAACGTCATCTCCAGGCTACAAAAAAAAAAAAATTAAATAAAATAGCAAGTGTAACTTATTTATATCCAGGAATTAAAATTATGGAATTTGAGCTGTCAGTATATTCTGGCTCTAGAGAGCAATTCAGATATATACTTTTTTCCCTTTTGTGAGACCATTTAGAAATTCATTTAGAAATTCATTTAGAGACCATTTAGAAATTCATTTGTGCAACATATATCTCATCTCACACTGGCATTTATTTTTCCTTTATCAGTTGACAGACTATTGTTCTTAAATTCTAAAGTCTCCCTTATTGACAAAATTGCTCATTAAGAAAAAAAAATAGAAGTTGAGAATTAGAACTTTCAGACTCACTGTTTTGACAGTCTCTTCCTGTCGAAGGATTTACTTGAGCAAAGCAAATTTCTTACTGTCATAAGGAACCAAAGAGAGGAAATTCTTCAGCTAAGAAAAGTATAGGTGATTACTGGAATGCTCCCCAAGTACAAGGGAAATGCACAGTAATTTCTCAATTCTAGCTATCTTGTCCAGTGGCTCCTTCCCTTTGGACCCACCAGAAGTTCAACATCCCTCTCTCTCTCTCACATTGCATGTCAAACCACCCTCTCAAGTTTTGGGGTGATCCTTTTCCAACTAAGGCTGACTATGGTCTAGAACATTGACTTTCAATTTTCTTCTTTTTTCCTTATATCTCTTATGGAGTTGGAAATGGAAAAGACAGTAATGAAAGATTTTCAAACCCCTGGAGTGGATGGTAGTGATCATTTCCTAAGGTTGGGGTAAGAATCAAGAGTTTTGTTTTGGATATTTTGAGTTTGAAATGACCACTAGACACTCAAGTGACTATTTGCAGTGGCAATTGAACATAGAGGTCTTACAGAGAGGCTCAGGAAGAGGTCGTGGCCACAGGCAAAATTTGGGAGTCATCAGCATTTAAAATGGTATTAGTGGAATCTACTTTGAATCAGAGTCCATCTTGTCTTTAACCACTGTCTTGAGTATTGGGAGTGAGTTGCTGTGTGCAGCCCGAATCAACAGCCTGACTCAACTCCCTATCTTATTGGCAACTAGAATGACAACTCCTTGTTTTCTTTTTATGGGCAATTAGAAAACAAGAGACTGTCTATGGATTGTTAGAAAATGTCCCATACCGCAACCAGTAAACATTTTCACAACAAGTGACAAAGCTTAGACTACACCCCTGATTCATCCTTAAAAATTTTGCCTCCCTGGTGGCGCAGGGGTTAAAAACAGCCCTATCAAACTATTGCCACTGCAGCACCAAGTTCGATCCCTGGATGGCCAGGGAGCTAACCCACACATGGTGCAGCAGACCTCTCCTGTCTTGCTTGCTGCTCCCTTCAGCTCCCCACTCTCTCTGGTGAATCCTCTACCCTGCCCCCCTGCACCTCTAGCTTACACCCCAGTTCTTGTATACATACATAAATTTTTTTTTTAAATCTTAAAAAAAAATAAACTAAAGAAGAAATTTCCTTTGGCCCTGGTGGAATACACTTTTGCCCAGGTCACTAGTTGTGGACTGGAATCATGATTCCTATTCTCAAATAAACACACGTTCCCCTATTATATTACTGTCTGATTATTTTAGCTGACCTATGTATCTCATATGTGAATTGAGATAAGATCACCTGTAGTGTATGTGTGACTCGTTAAAGCAGGAACACTGAAGACAGAGTACTGGACATGACATTTGAGGACTGGCAGAGAAGTAGCTGCCAAAGCAGCATGAGAGGGCAACATCAGAGGAGGCAGGAAATAAACATGTTTATAAAGAAGGAGGTGGTGTGAACTGTTTTGCAAGAGCTCTAATAATGGGAGGACAAAGTGTCTACTGGATTTGGCTGAGAATAAAGAAGTCTTTGTAGACCTTGAGAATGGGAATTTTTGTTGAAAATAAAACAGTTGGACAAAATCCATTATGTCTTTAAATTTTTTTCCTAATTCTTCTCTCTGCCTTCTCACATGAATGAAATTCAACTGGAGTCACTTTTCCCATTGTCCTCTTTAGCAAAGTCAATTTCTTTTAAATTTTCTCCTGTCTCAATGAGAATATGCAAAGGCCATCTTTCTTCACAATGCCATATGGTTATTCATGTTAATTATCTTTTCTCTCTCTGATTTCTGAGCTCTTTCACCTTGTCAACACTTAGGACCCACATTTCCACTCCAGTGTCCCACCATATTTCTTGCCTTTTGTAACTCCTAATTTTACTTCTGTTCTTGAATGGTTTAATACCTCCATCATGAACTCTATTAAATAATTTTCACTTTCCCAGATTTTTGTTAAAGCCTTATCAAACCTGATATATCTGTGATGTCCACTGTATCTACTTTACTAATCTCTTCATCTTGGTAAAATCATTGTATTATTCCTCTATCCTCACTGTAAGATATTTTTATAAGAATAATTCAACCATCTAAAAATCGATGCTATTCACTCTCATTTTTGCTGAGCAATAATTTCATCTTTTAAAAATGTCTTATGAGTTTTCCTATTTTGTTGTTCTGAAGTTGTGTCTGCTTGTTCACATGACATGTAAAAGTAATAATGTGCTAAAATATTCTAGCAAGAAAAGCTTTTTGTCTAAAAACATGATATTTAAAAAGCATGTGATATTTTTGACTTCAAGAATTGATTTCTCAATTATAGGAATCATAAATTTGTTGGGAAGTAATGTTACTATATTATGTCATGTCTCACTCTTTTGTCTTCAGTGTCCTTAATCCTTGATCCCATCTAAGCATAGGAATAGAAATTCTCTATTTTCCTTCTCCATAAAGATTTTACAAGTCATGAGTCAGCCACAGAGAAGTGAATTTCATTTTCTCACTTTTTAATGCAGGTTCTTTCCAAATCTTTAAGATTCAACTAGAAATCTGCTGTTTGAACAAAAGTTGAAGTTGGCTGAGGAGGAGGACGAGGTCATAACTCACAAGAGTCTGAAATTAAGAAATTACCATAGTCCACAAGGTATTGGGACTGTTAGGTGTGTGACGAAAAAGCAGAAGGGGTGGGGCAGTAGAGAGGACAAATACGGGATTGGCATCAGGTGACCCAATATTTGGATCCAGTTCTGTTCAGTTAGCTCTTTCATTGGTTTGCACCTCAGCTTTCTCTTGAGTGAAATGAGGCCACTGGCATATGTAATTGCTATGTTCCTTTCCACCTTAGATAATAAATGAATGGCAAACTAGAATTTGATTCATTCATTTAATCGTGGAGCTGACTCAAAAAACCTGACCATTCTTTGGGTTATCTCCCTCTGGAGGGGGTGGGAGATAAATTTTCAGTTGCAATTATTATTTTGTATTATGTTGTGCGGAAACATTTCCATGATTGTGTGATTGGAGAAAAGGGTGTATCTAGATGTTGGCCAGCAAAATGGTGGACTACAGTTAGGAAACTGCACGTTAGTTTGATGGAGAAAGTTTAACTACAGTTGTGAGGACAGAATAAAAAGTACATTGGAGTATGAATCAAAACCACTTGGGATCTAGGCCTGAATCTGCTTCACATAATCTTCTGGGCATTTGTTTGGCTAGGTCAGTACTCTTTGATCTCTGGTAACAAAACACCATGACATTCTATGATGCTAAGTAATGAACTAACTTCATACACATTGCTCCTGGCGCGTGGCTGCTAAATATCAGAGATCTAATCTTTAGGCTTCTGAACTTACCTTAAAAGCCATGGGTATTTCAATGATATAAAGATCCACATATTCTAACTGGAGGGTCCTGAGTGTCCTTTCCAAGGTGGGGCGGACCATCTCTGGGGTAAGACTTGTAGCCCATAACTAAGAGAATAAAAGTGAGTATAGTTAGCTAATATCCACGTTAATGTTTCTTCCTTTTTTTTAATATTTATTTATTTATTTATACAAGCACTGGGTACAGTCAGAAGCGTGGGAGGGTGAGAGAATTCACCAGAGCCAGAGCGGGGAGCAGAGCAGGCAGAAGGACCGAAGTACACTGCTGAGGGGAGCAGCGGGCGGCAGGAGAGGTCTGTGCGCCATGCGGGACCCTCCTCTGGTGGCCGGGGAGCAGCCGGGGATCGAACCGGCACTGCAGAGGCTGCGGGCAGTTTCGCAACCCAGCGTTCAACCGCTGCGCCACCGGGGAGGCCCCACGTTAATGTTTTTTCAATAAAGTAGTCATTCATTCTTTACAAAGCACTTATATATACATCTTACACACTCATTTAATTTCATGACAATGAACTTAGTTCTCTTTAATTATTAAAGATAATGGCTTATTGGTTTTGGTTCAATATTTTCAGGTTAAAATTCACCAAAAAATATTTCACAATAAAGGACAAAGATCTAGAAAGAGTAAGAACTAAATGTTCCATTTAATAATAAAAAGTGATGAAAAGGTGTTGGCACTTCTTATAAGGTCAATGAAAATGATGAAAAATTACTCTGAGTACTTTTTAATGAATTTGACAAAACCATTACACAAAAAATAAAATTTGAGATTTAAATAGAGTTGATTACAGGTGTTATGAGTTGGTTGAGATGTCTTGCTTATTTGCCTATAATGAAAATAATACAAAAATATTAAAATAAGAACATAATACACCATATTTTTTTTTTACAGAAATACTATCTGATGAGGAATTTCTTGAAACAGTAGAAGATTGATCAGTAAATTAAAAAATCTTTCAGGTTGCTGTATGACACAGCAAGAGGATAAAAATCAGAATTGCTGTTTTCAAAAACAATCACCTGAAAACAATACACTTTGTTACCTTTTAGGGCAATATTCAGAGTATTGTGCTTTCTGATAGCAAAATAAAGCTCATAAAGCAATGAAAAAAATAATGAAGCCGTAAATAAATACTACATTTTTTGGTGTCAGGATTCTGTAAGTGTTATGACACTAAAGTAGAAGAAAAATAGCTTTGACATTGGATAGTATATGAAGGATAAGTCCCTAATTTGCTTCAATTTTTTCAACATGATAGATATTGCAACAACATTAACTGTTGACCAAAGATATAGGAAGGAAAATTTTTTGGTTTATTTATTTATTTTTTTGTAATTTAAAAACCTCATCTCTACTTTGAAACAAGGAGAATATATTGAAACAGAGACTAACTGGTTAAATTGCTTTCAGACCCCAAGAGCACAAAAGAGAGAATAACATATCTAACTTTGTTTTTGAGGTTTGTATTTAGAGAAGCATTTTATGTGACACAGTCTGAGTAAGTAAAAACAAACAACCTTGAGTTGACCTCCAAAGCTAGCTGGAGACTGAGAACACAGAGGTAGAGGTGCTACCCCCACATAAGGAACTCACCAACAGAAATTTAAAACTCTAGTTATTTGAAGAAAAACCTCTTTATTCTTCTCTGTGTTTGAACTACCCTGTAACTAGACAATGAACTTCAGCCAAGTTCAGATTGCTTTGCCCCTAACCTCCTCCTTAACCAATGAAATAGAATTCCTTTGTTCTCAACCTTGGTTACCTCCAAACCTCAACAACATCATTTCCTTTCTTAACTAGGGATGTAGATTTGAATTTATCATCTGCCTTCTTACCAATCTATTTGCATTAAAGTTTATTTCTCTGTTCAAAAGCCCGATGTCATAATCTGATCTGTTGCTTGACTAACCCCAATTCTCCAAAATACATTATGGAGAAAAAATTGCAAAAGCCTAAAAAAAAAAAAACAACATAGAGCTAAACATATTTCTGGTTTTGGTCAGACTGCTTTGTCCTAGGCCCTCAAGATATAAATACAAGTTTATTCTTCTCTTGAAATATTTTTGGAGAACCCAACTTGATGTTTGGTATTTTACTCTAATAAGAGATTCTGTAATAACAAAATCTTTAAGAATCAAAATTGTAAAGCTATAATAAAGTGAAAAGTTTCAGGCTGATATTTTGGGACAGTGGTTCTGTGTGACCTTGGGAATCATAACCATAAGTGGCTGGTGACTCAGGAAACCACAGTTCCCTGAAGAACTTGGAAAGGAGACTAAGCAGGGAGCCAGGAAGAGGGGCAATTGGTGAGTGAGTGAGGTTGAAAGCAGAATCTTGTCCTCTCTAGAATACTCAGGAGAATGATATTACCAGTATCCCAAAGTGGTACAGTTTTATTTCTGCAAATGTGCCTGTAAATATGCATTGTCCATTTCCCACTGACTTTCATTTTAATCATGATACTTTATCTTTCTGCCTGCTCTTCAATGGATTGTGACTTCTAACACGGGTGCTTTAAATTTTTCAAAAGGCAGTGAGTGATCTTAACAAAAATACAGTGTATCCTACAAAGGAATAGTTTTCAAACATCACAGTATGAATAAACTTAGAAAATATTATACTAAGTGAAAGAAACTAGACATAAAAGCTCACATATTGTATGAACCTATTTGTATGAAAAGTCCAGAGTAGGAAAACCACAGAAATAGAAAGTAGATCAGTGGTTTCCAATGGCTGGAGGAGAGGGCTAAATGAGAATTGACTGGTAGTGTGTATGAGGTTTCTTTTTAGTATGATGAAAATATTCTGGAGTTAGGTAGTGGTGATGATTGCACTACTTTGTGAATATATTAAAAACTACTGATTTAAAATGTTGAACTTTATGATATGCTAGCATTAGGGAAATGCAAATTTAAACCACAATAAGATACCACCTTTCACATGTGAGAATGGCCCATTTAAAGAAACAAACAAAAAAAAAAGCAAAAAACGAAATTAGAAACAAGTGTTGACAAAGATGTGGAGAAAAAGGAACCCTCCTACGCTGTTGGTAGAAATGTACACTGGTTCAACTTCTATGGAAAACAGTAGGGAGGTGTCTCAAAATATTAAAAATAGTTATGGGAGCATTGGATGCCCAATGGCAGAATATCAAATCACCAATTCAAAGAGATACATGCACTCTGTATTTATTGTAGCACTATTTACAATAGCTAAGTTATGGAAACAATTGAATGCTCAATGAAAGATGAGTGGATTAAGAAGATGTTGTATATATATACAATGGAATACTACTCTGCTGTCAAAAAGATGAAATCTTGCCATTTATGACAACATGAATGAAACTGGAAGGGATTGTGAGAAGCGAAGTCAGAATGAGAAAGACAAATACTGGATGATTTCATTCATATGTGGCATATAAAAAGACAAGACAAAGGAACATACAAAACTAACCAAAACAAACCCTAGAAATCTCAGCACGGAACTGAGAGTACCAGAAAGGGAGGGTCGGAGATGGGGAACACAGTAGGAGGGAAACCAGTGGATTTTGGTTGAGGATTAGGGATGTTTGGGTGGTAGACATGGTGTGGTAACATACATCTGAATGTGTGAAATTTTACTCCTAAATCAACAGTGTTTTAAAACAATGTTACTCCAATAAAAAAAGAGCCAGTTAAAAAAATTAGTGATATATGAATACATATCCACAAAAGAAAATGAAAACTGCCCTTCTAAAGAGAGTTTTGAAAAATGTGAGTCTCCTTCTTCCTTCCACTCCCCAGTTTGTAAACTTGGCAGATTTGTCTGTGCCCATATTATCTTAATTCAACGGAGCATTGTTCTAAATTTCAAGAGCTAATGAGTGCCTGAATTCTAGACAAGAGTGAGCAGTCTGGAGTTAAGAACTCACTCTTGGTGAATCCAATATCCTTTAGCAGAGAAAAATGACACAAGATCCACCCTCATATAAGGAGATGTGGGGGCCAAAGGAAGAGCTCACCTTTCCGCAGTAGAAGATATTCTCTCTCTGCACCTTTCCCTCTGCCATCTTCTCTCTGATGGCCTCACCCACTTCATGCTCATTCTCATAGAGGAAGGCCCCGTCAAAGTGCTGGTATCCCACATCAATAGCAGCCTTCACTGCTATAGCACAGGTCCCCTTAGGAGTCTGAAATGACAAGAGGGTTGGGATTGGGGAGAGGAGAAATAGCTCTTTCCTTTAGATCACTCATTTTTTTTTAAGATTTATTTATTTATGTATACAAGATCTGGGCTGTAAGCCAGAGGTGCGGAGAGTGAGAGGATTCACCAGAGACAGAGTGGGGAATAGAACAGGCAGATCTACTGAAATACACTGCTGAGGGGAGCAGCGGGCCAGTCATCAGAGGTCTGCTGCGCCACCGACTGGGAGAACATTTCTGCACACAACACTAATGATAAAGGATTGATCACAAAAATCTGCAAAGAGCTGAATGAGACTCAGCACAAAGAAAATAATCCTATCAAGAAATGGGCAGAAGAGCTAAAAAGAAACTTCTCTGAAGAGGAAATGCAAATGGCCAACAGGCATATGAAAAAATGTTCAACATTACTTGTCATCAGGGAAATGCAAATCAAAACTACCATGAGATACCATCTTACACCAGTGAGAATGGCACATATTAAAAAAACTAGCAACAACAAATGTTGGCGAGGGTGTGGAGAAAAAGGAACTCTACTGCACTGCTGGTGGGAGTGCAAACTGGTCCAACCACTATGGAGAGCTGTGTGGAGATTTCTGGACCTACTAAACATAGAGCTTCCATATGATCCAGCGATTCCACTCCTAGGTATTTACCCAAAGACACAGAAACATCCATTCCAAAGAGCACCTGCACCCCTATGTTTATAGCAGCACTGTTTACAATAGCTCAGCTTTGGAAACAACCCAAATGCCCAAAAATAGATGACTGGATCAAGAAGATGTGGTACATATATACCATGGAATATTACTCAGCATTCAAAAAAGATAAACACATGCAATTTGCAGCAACATGGATGGTGCTGGAAGGGATCATGCTCAGCGAAATAAGCCAGAAAGAAAAAGAAAAATACCGGATGGTCTCACTCATAGCAGGAATCTAGAAAACTTAAATAAGGGACCAGGAAAAAGAATAACTATAAGAAAGTGAAAATCAAAATCAACAACAAACAATGAACTAGAGACACTCTAGGGGGGGTGGGGGGTGGGGGAGGGGAGGGATTGGGGTCAAAATAAGGGGGTTGCAATTGTATGGGGAATATAAAAATAAAATTTATTAAAAATAAATAAATAATAAATAAAGCTTATACTATTATAATATAAAAAAAGACAATCACTAGTCTCATCAAATGAAAACATTCAAGTCATCTTTTAGGTTGTGTGGGGGTGGAGGTAGAGGTTTAATCCCATTTGTGGATTTTTATTGACCTCCTATTCAGATAGTGATCTTGTTCACAAATACTGGTAATTATTTGTATGTCTGTATTTTAGTGTTCTAGCCAAATGCTTGGCAAATCAAAGTGGACCTGTGAACTCTGGCCCAAAGCTATTGATTTGCTGTAGAATGAGTGGGAGAAGTCTCTTGTATTTCTAATAACTTTATAGCTCCAGACTGGAAATTGAAACCCTTAGAGCATAAATTTTATTTTCTTTCCCAATTTCAGTTTCAAGTCATCCCTTCTGTGAAGATAAAAGGATATGAAAAATAAACTGGCCACACAGATAGTATCAGAAAATAGGAGTCATAGTCACAAATATCAAATAGCTTGAGAAAGAGATACATATTCCAGGAAGGTCAGAAACATCTCTTTGGTTAATTATTTAACACCATGATTAACAAGATTTAAACAGAAATTGAGGAAAAATCAACAAAACTGTAAACTGTAAAATGAGATAGTATGGAGGACAGCAAGTATGATAAGTGGGAAGACGCAGTTTGGGGTAGAATCCTGAGATTATACAGGAAAAAAAATGCTACTTCCATTCTCAAGTATATATACCGTTTTAATGAAAAGAATGTGGCTTAATATGAGATGATCAAAATAATCTCAGAAATAGGGGCCTCCCTGGTGGTTCAGGGGTCAAAGACAAAGCACTATCAAGTTATTGCCAGCTACTGGGACGTGAGTTTGAACCCCGGCCAGGGAACTGACCCATATGACACAGCAGAACTCTCCTGTCTCCCCTCAGCAGTGTATTTCAGTAGATCTGCCTGTTTTGCTCCCCACTCTGTCTCTGGTGAAGCCTCTCACCCCCACACCTCTGGCCTACACCCTAGTTCTTGTATGCATAAGTAAATAAATCTTTTTAAAAAATTTGAGAAATATCACTGAGATTTTGTGACCTGGAATTAATCATTTAAGCATAGAGCTAAAGTAAATATTAGAGGGAGAACCCAAAACAGTGCATGTGAAAGTATATGCTTTTATTCAAAGATTAACCCAAGGGAAGGAGCAAAGCAGAGATCATTTATTATCAAGAAAGTGAAAAAGACATGGGTTAAGTCAGGAGTCCAGCCTGAAGTAATATATGGATGTTGCTTTACTTACAGAAGATAATGGCACAGAAGCAAGTTATAGCAGGGAAAGCCTTCGAATATTCAGCGATCATTAAAGATACTTTTCTGAAAGCTGGGTATCTGGTAGAGTCTTTACTTGTTAAAAGTGTTCTTGCTCTGATGGCGGGAGCAGTAATGAGGTGAAATACTGTTCTGGGCTTAATTCTAATCAACATGGAGAAATTAGTTGGAAACATGGATGTGAGAAAAAGATTTTTTCTGATGCTTAAAGATAGTGCAAGAATTCAAAGTATATTCTGGCACATTCTTGAGGAATACACATTTGAATAAAAATCAGATAAAATATAATACCACGTTTGGAGAGTCTAAAATGCAAAACTTTGACTCTACAATGAAGGGCAATCTCAGTCAAAGAATCTCTTTCTGGAAATGACCAATAGCACCCTTCTTGCAGTTAAGAAAGGAGCAGGTCCTATAAGGATGAGATGCCATCCTTCAGATAGAAACCATGCCCGAAGTGGACATCCACTATATAGTGTTGTGTTCCCATCAAGGAGAATATGTAAGTCTTCAAATGCAGTAAGTCATTCAACTTTGCATCACTCCCTTTGACTCACTTGTAAGAGTTGTGACTTCCATCCCTGAATTTTGACTCTTTATAAATGTCCTAGTTCCCAGCGGGAAAGCCAGGTCCCTTATTTTAAGAGTTCAGCATTCAAGGAAAGGATTTGCCGTATTGCAGGATAAGTGGCCCATATCATTGGAGGAGGAAGAGCTCCTCTGCGCTTACATAACAGGACAGGGGAGATGTTTGGCATTGACGTCATCCAGTGATGTGCCACTTACTAATTTTGATAGTTTACAGAAAGCACAGCAGCCATGACCTGAGAAAGGCAAGTTGGCCAGAGACTCAAGCAACTCAGAGACATAGATCTGGATCATAATTTCAGGTAAGTCACCTGGGCCAGCAGAGATGTTAGCTAAGGGTAAGGGAAATTTAGAACGAGTAATATAGGTGGGAGACAATACATCTAAGTTGCTACTTGAAGCTAACTTTTATATCAGGAGCTGCTTGCTTCCTATAAATCTAGCTCTTTTACATTTTCTTCCAGGAAAGAAACCAAATATGGATGAGTTGTTTCCGGGGAGGATGTTAACATATATAGCAATAGGTTCCATTGGTACCAACGGTAGACTGTAGCAGATGTCATGATGTACCCCACTCATTTCCTTGGCTGCCAGAGTGATGGCTACTGGTTACTTATATCTGGTTCCTTCTATGAATGATTCTGCCTACTCAGCAGAACTCTGTGGCACCATTCCTGTTCCAGAGCTCCCTGTAGGGTTGATGAGCAACTGCATTGCAGTTTAATTCTCTGCAGCGCACAGGCCTGAGAGCACTCCCTGGTAAGCCTCTTACATGCATATCTCCTTCTCAGAAGCAGTTCTTCAGAATACCCAAGCTTTGTGGATTTTTATTGACCTATTCAGATTATCATCTTGCCACAAAAGTTGGGCTAAGCCACTTGGGTTGGCACTGATGAAAGAGTGACAGTGTGATCACTTTAAAACTGAGGAACTCTGTTCATCACAAACATCGTTAAGAGGGTAAAGTGACAAGTAGGAAAAGATAGATACCTTTCACATAGAGCTTTCACTAAGATATAATGGACAAAGGACTTGTATCCAGATATTTAAAAAACCTTCCCTATCAATAAGGGAAATGCAACAAAGCTATCAAGAGGGTCTCCCTGATGGCGCCAGAAGTTAAGTCTCAGCACTATGAAGCTATCAGCAGCCATTGCAGCATGAGTTCGATCCCCAGCCAGTGAGCTGACCCACATGGCACAACAGACCTCTCCTGTCTCGCCTGCTGCTCCCCTCAGTGTGTGTTTCAGTAGATCTGCCTGTTCTGCTCCCCACTCTGTCTCGGGTGAATCCTCTTATCCCCCACACCTCTGGCCTGTACCCCAGATTTTGTATGCATAAATAAATAAAATAAATTTTAAAAAAAACTGTAGAGGGCATGGCTATTTGGCAAAAGATATCAAAATGACTAATACAATTTGAATAATTGACCGATCTCATCTAGAGTAAAGGATATCCAAATTAAACTACCATGAGAGATGATTTCACACCCACCAGAGCTGCATAAGTTAAAAAGATACCAAGTGCTGGTTAGAATGTGGGGTAGGGCCTCCCCGGGGGCGCAGCGGTTGAGTGCTGGATTGCGAAGCTGCCCGCAGCCTCTGTAGCAATGGTTCGATCCCTGGCTGCTCCCTGGCCACCGGAGGAGGGTCCTGCATGGCGCGCAGACCTCCCTGGCCAGGGAGGTGACCCACATGGCACGCAGACCTCTCCTGCCGCCCGCTGCTCCCCTCAGCAGTGTACTTTGGTCCTTCTGCCTGCTCTGCTCCCTGCTCTGGCTCCGGTGAATTCTCTCACCCTCCCGCGCTTCTGATTGTACCCAGTGCTTGTACAAATAAATAAATCTTAAAAAAAAAGAAAAAAAAAAAGAATGTGGGGTAAAGGAGAGAGATGTTGAGAGAGAAATGTTGGAGTGAGTGTAATTATATGTCTACTTTGAAATGATCTATACTGACATCACCTACTGAAAGTGAAGATAGCAGTTCCCTCTACATCCATGTCTTAGAGACACGCGCGTGTGGTAAGTCATGTGCAAGACTCTTGGGAGCAATATTGTCTGTGAAGCCCCAAATGGGAAGTAACACAAATGCCCACTGATAGCAAATTGGATATTGATGTGTCTTATAATTAAATATTGCACAGCAATAAAAATGATTGGGGACATGATTAATATGGGTGAATCTTACAATGTAATGTTTAGAACAACAATTCATTTGTATGTTTCCATTCATATAAAGTCTAGTTAAATCTAGTCAAGTTTAACTATCAATGCTAAAAAAAAAGTGCATGTTTAAGTTGTGCAACTCTTGGAATAAAAGATTAAAATAATGTCCATTAAACATTGGAAGAATGAGTGGGGACCCAGTGGCCTTGGCTAAGGGACTGTGGGTGCTTATGATGGTGGGGATGATGTGATAACATATATTTCAGGAATGTGAACCTATTCCCCTAAAAAACTTGTAAACTAATGTTACCTTAGTAATGAAGAAAAATAAAAACTAGAAGAGCAATTACCTCTTGCTGGAGGGAGGATTTGGGTTTGGAAGGGTATATAGAGGTTTCTGGGGCTTGCTATGTTTTAACTTTGGATCTGAGTGTTGGTTACACAGAGGCTAAATTTAAAATTATTTGTTCTTCTAAGTGTATACTATTTCAAAAATTAAATATTAAAAAGAGGGAAGAAGTGTAGATAAAAAATAAGGCTTAGGTGAATCAAATAAGTTTCAAACCTTAGACCCCCAAGAATGTGATAGCCTGTTAAATTCAGTAAAGGAAGCAGGAAGGTACAATTATCTAATCCAAGTTAATTTTATTTTATTTTATTTTTTATTTTTTATTTATTCCTACAAGCACTGGGTACAGTCAGAAGCACAGGAGGGTGAGAGAATTCACCAGAGCCAGAGGGGAGAGCAGAGCAGGCAGACTGACGAAATACACTGCTGAGGGGAGCAGCGGGCGGCAGGAGAGGTCTGCGCACCAATGGGACCCTTGCCTGGTGGCCGGGGATCAAACCGGCGCTGCAGAGGCTGCGGACAGCTTTGCAACCTAGCGCTCAACCGCTGCACCACCGGGGAGGCCCTCCAAGTTAATTTTTTTAAAGATTTATTTATTTATGCGTACAAGAACTGGGGTGTAAGCCAGAGGTGTGGAAGGTGAGAGGATTCACCAGAGACAGAGTGGGGAACAGAACAGGCAGACTGGCTGAAATACACTGCTGAGGGGAGCAGCGGGGCGAGGCAGGAGAGGTCTGCCGCACCACGTGGGCAGCTCCCTGGCTGGGGATCAAACTTGTGCTGCAGTGGCTGCGGACAGCTTCAAAGGTTGCGTCTTAACCTTTTGCACACCAGGGAGACCCTCTAATCCAATTTAATTTTTAATCATAAAGTCAGTCTAGCCTTTGGCTAAATACATATTGAGTCCTTACATATTGCTTTTATTATAAAAAAGCATATCAGTGAGATCAATTCAAAATTAATTACATGCTGAAAAGAATAATGCACTTCTTAAGATTATGCCAAGAATCCACCTTTAAAATAAATTTTCATCATAGGAGAAAAGAAGTCGGAAAGAAAGGATAAAACCAAAACAGATTGTCCACAAAAAATTCCAGATTATCTTCTATGGAAGAGACCTCCAAGAAAAAGGATAACGACATCACCCTTAAAGAAACAGAAAATTCTGTAAATAGAAACGCTGATGAGGAAGTAAGTACTTCAGAATCCGAATTTGAGAAGGGCTAGCAGAGACAGATGGCGAATCACAGGAAAAAGCATTTGATGAGAATGTTCAAGATTTGTTTCTGTGAGATGAGAGAAAAAAGGCTTTATTCCTTAGTGTGAAATACACGTTGAAACTCTTCACAAAGGTTTTATCTACACATTGAACTTTGAATGGTGTGTCTTTGCAAATAAATATCTAAGAATCTAGGGGGGAAAAAATCCAAACTCCCCCAAAATTCTAGATTATGATTTAGGAAAGTGTCCAAACACACATACACACAGAGAAAAGTTTACCCTTTTAGGTGGTGCGTAGGTACCAAGTCCGATGACAGGAATGCTGTTTCCATCACTGAGAGGTATACGGTGATTTGCAGCACTGAAGTTCATCTTCGAGGGAGAGTGTCCTCAACTTCAACTGTGTTGGAGTGATTCTGACCATCACCAATAGTGTCTTTTGGGAAGTTGTCCTCGGGCCTGTTTAATCTAAAGGAGGGACAATGGGAGGAGCCGTGGGAGGAGAGAGAGATTAACAGATCTATTTCTCAATCTGTTTTGTTTTTTTTTTCCCCTAGGTTGTTCTGGAAATCCTAAGTGAGGTTGTTCTTTGAACTTCATCAGGGGCATGCAAATCAATAGGCCATTGACAGCTAATGCTTCTTTGCTAAGAATAGTTTGAAAGAACAAAAGGAAACAAGTGTAGCTGGTTTCTGTCAGTTTGGGTATTTCTGAAAAGTGGAACATTAAGGTTAGCTTCAGATGAGAGGAGAGCAGCTTCCCAGGAATTCCCTGGAGATTCTCATGGGAAGGGGATTGGGACCGGGTCTGAGATTTTCAGCACCTAATTGAATTTGGGAAGCCCAAGACTAGAAAACAAATGATATAGCCAGGAACCAGCTTCTTACTCCCCAGTTTATTTCTCTACCTTCTTGTTCTTTGTGCTCACTCTTCCATTATCTCTGAAAGACAAAAATCATTCCTGGAGTTAATTCAGGTTTAAACTCAATAGAAAAAGAGAGCTTACTTATTCCATATCTCATGTAGTAACGCTGAAATGGGGTCTGTTTTACCTTTATTGCCTTTCTTGGTTCATGTACCCAATACGAAATCATTATGACCCAAGGAATTAAAAGACGAATTGCCTTAAGATAATGAAAATTTGGAGTAGGGATTACACCTTCTGGAAAGATGCTGCAGGTTAATAAAAGGGAAGATTGTAAAAAGGAAAGAGGCATCAGTTAAGGAAATAATTAATATATATTTATTAGTTTCTTCCCAAAAAATCGTGTTATTCTTAGAATGAGAGCTTTGGACCTGGTGACCTTAAAGATAACTGTAATCTTGGTGATGAAATTGTCCTGAAGTTTCTCTTAAATTAATTTTCTCTTTGTCTGAAAAAAATCCCACACACATGTTGACGCAATAATTTCAACGAGGTTGGGAACATGGGCTGGAGTGATTTTCAACATCATTTGTAAATTGAGTCAGCAAACACTTATTGTATATCTTTGTGTGCTATAACATTGGCTAGTATATGTTTATTTTTGTTATTATTGACTTTTTTTGGTATTTATCTCTGTGAATATATATGTATTTGTAAACTAGCATGGTATCAGAGATACTGAAAGGTTCTATAATGCAGATAACTCATTCATTCTATTTCTTTATAATTACATCCTCTCTCATTTGAGTGCCTGGAAATCACCATTTGTTCTCCATTGCTTTAGTTTTATCTTTTGAAATTATGAATTGAATCATACAGTATGTAGTTTTTGAGACTGTCTTCTTTCATTCAACATAAAGCCTTTGAAATTCATCCAGGTTGTTGCTTGTATCAATAGTTCATTTCTATTGCTGAGTAGTACTCCACTGCATATAGGCACCACTGCTTGTCGCCCTGTTTATTTTTTTTAAGATTTATTTATTTACACAAGAACTGGGGTACAGGCCAGATGTGCAGGAAGGTGAAAGGATTCACCAGCGACAGAGAGGGGAACAGAACAGGCAGACTGATGAAATACACTGCTGAGGGGAGCAGCGGGTGAGACAGGAGAGGTCTGCCGTGCCATGTGGGACCCTCGCCCAGTGGCCGGGGATCGAACTGGCGCTGCAGAGGCTGTGGACAGCTTCATAGTGCGGCACTCAACCACCTGCGCCACAAGGGAGGCCCCTGCTGACCTGTTTATTTGAAGGATATTGGTTTGTTTCTCATTTTAGTGGTTGGGAATACAGCTGCTATAAATGTTTATATACAGATTTTTGCATGAGCAATAGTTTTCATTGTCTAGGCTGAAGTCCCATGGGTCAGATTATGTGATAATCTCATGGGTCAGATTATGTGACAAGTCCCAGGTCGTGTGATAAGTAATTTTATTTTGTAAGAAGCAGCCACACTGATTTTTTAAATGGTTGTAAGATTTTACATGTTCCCTAGCAATGTATGGGAGTTATGGTTGTTCCACACCCATGACAACACTTGATATTGTCAGTCATTTTTATTTGTCATTCTGATAGATTTGTCATGATATCTCATGTGAATAATGATTTTGCATACTTTACATGTACTCATTTGTTATCTATCTCTGCTTAGTAAACACTCTATTCAAATCTTTTTTTTAAATAAATTTTATTTTTATATTCCCCATACAATTGCAACCCCCTTATTTTGACCCTAATCCCTCCTTTCCCCGCCCCCCAACCACCATAGAGTGTCTCTGGTTCATAGTTTTTTGTTCATTTTGATTTTCACTTTCTTATAGTTATTCATTTTCCTGGTCCCTTATTTAAGTTTTCTAGATTCCTGCTGAGTGAGACCATCCGGTATTTTTTTTTTTCTTTCTGGCTTATTTCGCTGAGCATGAACCCTTCCAGCGCCATCCATGTTGCTGCAAATTGTATGTGTTTATCTTTTTTGAATGCTGAGTAATATTCCATGGTATATATGTACCACATCTTCTTGATCCAGTCACCTATTTTTGGGCATTTGGTTTGTTTCCAAAGCTTAGCTATTGTAAACAGTGCTGCTATAAACATAGGGGTGCAGGTGCTCTTTGGAATTTATGTTTCTGTGTCCTTTGGGTAATTACCTAGGAGTGGAATTGCTGGATCATATGGAAGCTCTATGTTTAGTAGGTCCAGAAATCTCCACAAAGCTCTACATAGTGGTTGGACCAGTTTGCACTCCCACCAACAATGCAGGAAAGTCCCTTTTTCTCCACATCCTCGCCAACATTTGTTGTTGCTAGTTTTTTTAGTATGTGCCATTCTCACTGGTGTAAGATGGTATCTCATGGTAGTTTTGATTTGCATTTCCCTGATGACAAGTGATGTTGAACATTTTTTCATATGCCTGTTGGCCATTTGCATTTCCTCTTCAGAGAAGTTTCTTTTTTTAGCTCTTCTGCCCATTTTTTGACAGGATTATTTTCTTTGTGCTGAGTCTCATCAGCTCTTTGCAGATTTTTGTGATCAATCCTTTATCATTAGTGTTGTGTGCAGAAATGTTCTCCCAGTCGGTGGGGTTTCTCTTTGTTTTTGTTATTGTCTCTTTTGCTGTGCAGAAGCTCTTTAATTTGATGTAGTCCCAGCTGTTGATCTTTGCCTTCACTATCACTGCTTTGGGTGATGTGTCTGTAAAGATGTCTTTGATGTGCATATCATGTAGTGTTTCGCCTATATTTCCTTCTATGTATTTTATGGTTTCAGGTCTTATGTCTAGTTCTTTAATCCATTTTGAGTTGATTTTTGTGTATGGTGTGAGGTAGTGGTCAAGCTTCATTCTTTTGCATGGAGCGACCCAGTTTTCCCAGCACCATTTATTGAACAAACTGCTCCTTTGTCAAAGATTAGTTGATCATAAATCTGTGGGTTTATTTCTGGATTTTCTATTCGATTCCATTGGTCTGTGTGTCTGTTCTCGTTCCAATACCATGCAGTTTTTGATGATTATGGCTTTGTAGTATAGTTTGAAGTCTGGGAGTGTGATGCCTCCATTCCCTTCTTTTTGTTTCAGGAGAGCTTTGGCTATTCGGGGTTTTTGGTGATTCCATGTGCATTTCATCAATAATTGTTCTATTTCTTTGAAGAATGACATTGAAATTTTGATTGGAATAGCATGGAATCTGTATATCGCTTTTGGTAGGATGGCCATTTTAATAATGTTTATTCTTCCAATCCATGAGCAGGGGATGTCTTTCCATTTCTTTGTGTCTTCTTCTATTTCTTTTAACAGTGTTTTATAGTTTTCTTTGTATAGGTCCTTTACCTCTTTTGTTAGATTTATTCCCAAGTATTTGATTTTTTTTGTTTCGATAATAAAAGGGATGGTTTTTTGGTTTCTTCTTCTTCAGATTTATTGTTTGTGTATAGGAAGGCTACTGACTTTTGTGTGTTGATTTTGTATCCTGCCACTTTACTGAACTGATTGATGAGTTGAATTAGTTTTTCTGTGGAGTTTTTGGGGTTCTCTATGTATATTATCATATCATCTGCAAATAGTGATAGTTTGACTTCTTCTTTTCCTATTTGGATTCCTTGTATGTCTTTCTCTTGTCTTATTGCTCTGGCTAGGACTTCCAGTATTATACTGAAGAGCAGTGGTGAGAGTGGACGTCCTTGTCTTGTTCCAGATCTTAATGGAATTGCTTTCAGCTTTTCACCATTGAGAATGATACTGGCTGTTGGCTTGTCATATATGGCTTTTATGATGTTGAGGTACGTTCCTTGTATCCCAAGAATTTCAAGGGCTTTTATCATGAATGGGTATTGCACTTTATCGAAAGATTTCTCAGCATCTATTGATATTATCATATGGTTTTTATATTTCTTTTTGTTGATGTGTTGGATAACGTTGGTTGATTTTTGGATGTTGAACCATCCTCGTGTCCCTGGCATGAATCCTACTTGGTCGTGGTGAATTATCTTATGGATACATTGTTGGATTCTGATAGCTAAAATTTTATTGAGGATTTCTGCATCAGTGTTCATTAGGGAGATTGGCCTGTAGTTTTCCTTTTTGGTGTTGTCCTTGTTCGGTTTTGGTATTAGCGTAATGTTGGCTTCATAGAATGTGTTTGGTATTGTCCCTACCTTCTCAATTTTTTGGAAGAGTTTGTGAAGGATAGGCACTAATTCGTCTCTGAATGTTTGGTAGAATTCATTTGTAAATCCATCAGGTCCTGGGCTTTTGTTTTTGGGGAGGTTTTTGATGACCATTTCAATTTTGCTGCTTGTAATTGGCCTGTTTAGGTGTTCTAATTCTTCTTCATCTAGCTTTGGGTGATTGTAGAGTTGTGGAATTTGTCCATCTCCTCTAGATTGTTGAACTTGTTTCCATGTAACTGTTCATAGTAGTTACTGATTATTCTTTTGAATTCTGCTGTGTCCGTTGT